CTAGAACTAAATTGGTTAGCTGGGTACTTCAATGTCCATATAAATGATGGTACATGAACCTTGTTTTACTGAAGAGACCAGATGCTATTTCATGACATGTTCTGTTTTTAACTGTCATTATTCCTTGTAAACATGCCAGTGTAAGTTTTACTGGGGAAGGAAGATTACCTCATGGATCTCCTAATAGAAGTTCGTTGTTTTTTTCTTTAAAAAGGGCAAGGGAAGACCATCTGTAATTTACTTTCAAATTGAAGATAAATAGTATTGTGAAATTTTAGTTTAAATTAATTGGGTTGAGGTCAAGCTTTGTTTTTTTAACAGATACATTTTTGCAATAAAATGGTATTTCAAATATTCTCAAGTGTTTTGAACACTCAAAACCTGTGTGCATACCAATAACCAGGTACTTAACAAAAAGGAGAAGGTAGCTTTGTCAAGAAGTCCAGCACCTTGTCAAATTATTTTATCTTTTACCCTATAGCTGATCAGAATTAAAATGCATGTATTTCCCATACTGAAGCTATTTGATGTCTGAGACGGTTTGTTTTGGTAGGTCATTGTGTGGGGTCTTGGTGCATTTCAGTGAAGGAAGGACCAAGCAGGACGAATAAATCCATGCCCTTAGGCTGAATCACTAATCCTCTCTGCAACTGCCATTTTTCTGCCTTGGCTTTTGGCCTCTTGGCTTTTTGGAAAATTACATTTCATTGCTTCTTCTACATGATTTATGATTTTGGAATGTGCAGATCTTACAAAATAATATTTAAAGTGGTTTTTTTTTTTTGTTTTTAATTTAAATTTGACTGGGCTTCTGATGTTTTTGTTACATTTGTGAGTCTACCCCTTGGCTTAAATGGTGGATTTTTTGCAGTTCTCCAAGTCAGTAGCAGTGACATGCACGCTTGTCTTTTTTTAAAAAATCTTCTGTGGTGTTAAAATCTAATGCATCTTTTTTTTTTATGGGAGCTTGTTGACGTTAATAGAGAGTTCTCACATTTTGTTTCACACACCAACACCCCCGCCAGTCAGGCATTAATACTTGCCCGAGACTGATGGTTTTCCCTGGTCCCCGAGAATCCAGCGATCGGCTGAAACCTCCTTGAAGTTGTATGGCCTAGGCTAGTTCTTTCTGCTGCAGAGTCTTGCAGATAAAATGGCAAGTCTAATTTCTATCCGTCTTTTGCAGGTAGTAATGAAGAAAGGAATAATGCATGCACGGGTGTGGGAAAGGGAGAAGCAGACATGTTCAAATCATACCATACAAACATATCATTAAACTATAGGAATGTATAGTTCAGGAATTAATTGTGTCAGGAACAAGTGTTTTGGAACAGAGCTGTGGAATATAAACGGTACTTGGGGTTATGAGGAGGAATGCAGGGTAACTTAGGTCTGTCATGCAGTTATAATTAATACTTAGTCAAAACTGTTTCATGGAATCAGGCTTAACCGGAGTAGTCTTTTCTTGATCTGATAAGTTTTTGCATGAAGTTTTTGCATGATAAGATGTGTCTTTTACTTGTTAGCTATGCTGTAATGTTGTTGTGATATGGAGGCTATCGGTGTGATCGTAGGCTGAGTGATGAGCTCTGTTACCACTCTAATGAGCAGTAATCCAAAACATCAGATTTGTAAGTGCAAATTGTTATCTTTAGTGGGGAAGGAGTAGTGGTTAAACATACAATGATATAATTTAAATCAACACTTGTCTGTTTTCATGCAGTTGAAATAACTGAATCTTTATTACAGTTGCACAAGTGATGACCTTAATAGTGAGTATGTAAAGTTACAGAATCATCACTTGGGAAATCTGTACTTAGTGCCCCCTGAAAAAGTAGGTCGATGTGGAAAGGAACTGTTTAGTTTGTTGGCTTCTCATTATGGTCAGTTCTTTCACATCATGGTTGGGTTGGGTCCCAATTTCTACGCTTTTTCCACTACTTCCCAAGTTGGCAATAGTTCACAGTGAAACCATGGCAGTTGGTAGTTTACCATCAGGGCAAGCTAGGGAGGGATTCCCCTTCTGCAAAAGGCAGGTTTCTGGAGGCGGCGGTTTGATTCCTGCAGTTCTGGTGCTCTGCAGACGTGGCAGGGGCAGTTGGAGAAGCTCTGGGAGCTGGAACACAGCGGTGGTTGTGTGTCCCCCTCTGCCCTCCGCAGCAGGAGAGGAGCCCAAGGCCGAGGCACGGCTTGTCGGCTCTGCTTGGGCACTCCTACCCACACTGCGGGGAGCAGGTACCTGCCAGTGCTCACTGCAAGGGATCAACCTTCCTCCTCACAGGAGGGTAAGAAGGGAGACAGCTAGGCCGAGGTGCAGTCCCTTTTGAATGCCTGAATTGGAAGGCTCCTCTAGCAGGTCTGTTATGCTGTGTTTTTGACTGAAATATTGCTGCTAGCTTGTCTGCCTCCTTTATTTTCGGCTTGGAATGTTACGGAAAGTCCTCCTTGACTTGCCTGGGTTGAGACTTGATCAAGTTTTCACATGTTCCTGGTTTCTAGAATGTCTTCTGGCTGGAGACAAGAAAACAGGGCAGTGGGTGCTCAGGTCAGGGGTGTCTACCCTGGGTGAATCCTGTGGCCCTGCCCATTTAAATAGAGGGGTACCTTTGACTCGGACAGTCTCCAAACTGAGTTGTTGTTGGTCTGCAGGAAAAATACATTCTTCTGCAAGCGTCTCCTGTTCTTTACTAAGTGTCATCTCCTAGTCTCTGCTGTCGTAAAAGGATACTGCCATAGCTGAATCTTTGACCTGACCTGGTGTGGCCTTTTCATATGCTGATGTGGTAGTTTCTAAGCAATGCAATAAATAATACGTATTCTAGCTGCACTGAATTACTTAAAAAGGAGGAATGTTTTTCGAGGACTGTGACAGCGCTTGGGACATACTTTTTTCTTCCATCCCAGCTCTTAACTCACAGTTTACCTTTTGCCATCCTCTTTGTCCTCATCTTTCCCTTTCTTGGCTTGGAGCCTTTGTTTAGTCTTAAGACCTTGATGTTTGACAAATGCTTTTCTGCTACTTCAACATAAAGAGCTCTTTCTGAGCTCAGGATGACGCGGTAACTGGAAAGTGCTGTTCATTTTCACTATTTCATAGTGCTTCCAGTCATTGTTACCTATTAATTGAAATTGTAATGTTTAACTCTGAAATGCTTAGTTTGCTCATCCCAAGCATATTTAATAATCCTTGGGTTTCATTCTTTGGTAAGAAATGCTGATATGATCATGGAGGAAAAAATAAAAATACTTATAAGCAGTATTTGCTTTCTTAAACCTTCACTAGGTGTAATCCAGAATTGACAAGAAGTGGGTTGCAAGAAAATGATTTGTGTGCTGCTCCCCGGTCAGACCTCACTAACACAAGGCTCTTGTTTTAAGTGGTGTACAGCCCCATCCAATGTAGATGTAAAGCTGGGACTTCAATTTTTGATCATCTCAGATTACTTGGAATCATACAACAGGGGCCTAATGACCGTAATGTCTTCTGCTGCAGCTGGAATACCAAAAGGTTAACCCAGGTCTTCAGAGCATCTTAATCTGAGCCTTTGGTTTTTCTTCTCCTTCCAGTGAGTGAGTGGGAGGCAGCTCAAGTTTGTAATATACTGAGATAATTGTTTAATCAAAGTGTGTTCATGTGAATACAAATGTCCTGCTAATACAGATAAGCTTCTATTCGTAGCTGAAATGTAAAGCGATGTGATAAAGATGGAGAAGTCTTCCAAATTCATGGCTAATATGTCTTTGTAGTATTGAGTAGAAGTAATATATTTAGTGGAGAATAGAGATACAATGCAAAATAAAAGTTTGCTTTGAGACTGGTTTTAGTTAGGCAAGGAAAGATTGCTTACTGGTGACGGTTTCTTTAGTCAGTGAGGATACCACCTGGAGTGGTAAATTGCTTCCAAATTTTTTATTCTCTGGATGAAAAGATATAATGAAATAGCCTTCTTCCTCTCCCGATCGGTGTTTCAGAGGGGAAGTAATTGCTTGCAAAACCTTTGCTTGTTTATGGACAATATGGTTAGGCGTAACTTTTTACCTACTATTTCCTATAATGCTGGGAATTGACTGTAACACTGGGACTACTTCAGTGCTGTTGAATTACGGTGGAGTTGCACCTGATCTGCTTGGTAGGAGTGTTCTGTGCATGCGACATTCATCCATGCGTCCCGTTTGCGTGGGTTTGGAGAGGGTTAAATCACGGGTCAGAGTAATCCTGCTTGGATTTGTAACTGATTATCTGTTCGCTTTCAGTTGACTAGACCTTTACAGAAGGAGCAAAATGAGAAATGTTTTTGGAGGTAGAAAAGTGGAGTCTTTTTTCTCTTTGTGTGTGTGCGTAGAATTGTCAGTGAGCTTGCACCCGGGTGCAGCCCTAATGATTTTCTTTCAGTTGGGAGCAAGGATGAGCTTAACTTGCCTATTTTCCAGAAATGAACTCCCTCCCACCCCCAGTAGTTTTTATTGAATTTTATACTGATGCGGGTAGTTGGAGCGTTGACATTTAGTATGGCGTGCAGTAAAAACCAGCATGATTTTAGGACAGGCAAATACTCTCATTTACCTGGGTGCAGAAGTCACTGCTGATGGTGGCAGCCACAGTTGTTGACATTTAGTGTGATGAGCAGTCCAAGGCTTTTATTCTGAAGAATAAATGTGTCGTGGTAGATGGGAAGCAGTTTGACTGTACAGACTTGGAAGAGTCTTTTCACAGCCCTGAAGGACTGGAGTTAGTTTGAGCTTGCTAATGCCAGTGGAGATGATGCGGCCAGACTCGCTACGAGAGCACACATCCACTCTGCAGACTGGTCATTTCTGGTGTTCCTGAATTTTTGTGTAATTTATCCAAACCCCTAGTGCTTTTTCATGTTGGGCTGTCAGCCTCGTAAGATTGAGTGCGACTTTTGGCCTCATGTACCCAAAGCCTTAGCATGAAATTCTGTGCAGCAGACCATTAAATGTCATTGTACTGATTTTGTGAATGTTGTCCACTTTTACAGATGCCTTTGTAAATAGCCAGGAATGGACACTAAGCCGATCTGTACCAGAACTGAAAGTGGTGAGTTTATATTTACTTCCATCTCTGAAAAACATGCTGAAAATGTTACATACAAGTGAAAAATCTTCAAAGCTTCGTTAAATCTACTGTTGGGTAAAAAAAATATAGGAAGCAATTTTTTTAAAGAAAAAGGCATTTTTCTTCAGCAGAATTTACCTTTATGAAGTTTATATATCTTCTGTTTTTATAATTGTGCTTCAAAGATTGGTTTGTTTTGTTGCTGTTTTGACTTGTTTGGCTACGTGAACCAGCCTCCCAGGGTGTTTTTCTCAGTAGGGAAGTCTTACACTTTTTTAAGAGGAGGAAGTGGAAGTTAGCAGGTGATATGTAAAGCTCCTTTTATCTCACAGTAATAGTTTTTTTTACAGTTTCTTCAAGGACCAAATGTCTTTTTTCCCTCTCTTAAAATAATTTAACTGAATTTATACGGAATAAAAAAAATAGTATTTTGAAGGTTCATATAGTGAATCAAAAGCTACATTTTTGTTGTAAGAATGAACAGTGATTTAATAGCTGCTTAAAATAACTTTTCCTGAGCCATTTACCATATAGGTGGAAGAAAAGGCAAAAATAAGAGACAGATTGGGAGAATTTCACAAATTTGCCCCTTTGAGTGTGATTAAGGTAGAAGCTGGAGATAAGGGCTGAAACCTCCTTGTAGTGGATATTGGCCGTGGTTTAACCCCATCCAGCAGCTCACCCCCCCCCCCCCCGCCCCCGGTGGAATGGGGGAGAGAATTGAAAGGGTAAAAGTAAGAAAACTCCTGGGTTAAGATAAAGACAGTTTAATGGGTAAAGCAAACCAAGAGGTTCGTTCACCCTTCCCATGGGCAGGGTGGTGCTCAGCCATCCCCAGGACAGCCGGGCTCCGCTCATGTGCTGAGCGTGATGGTGCATGGTCTGGGATGTCCCTGAGGTCAGTTGGGGTCAGCTGCCCTGGCTGTGTCCCCCACCAACTCCTTGTGCCCCCCCAGCCACTCACTGGTGGGGTGAGAGGCAGAAAAGGCCTTGGCTCTGTGTAAGTGCCGCTCAGTCATAACTAAAACATCCCTGCCTTATCAACACTGCTTCCAGCACAAACCCAAACCATGGCCTCATACTAGCTATGATGAAGAAAATTAACTCTACCCCAGCCAAAACCAACACGATATCAAGCCAGCAGCACAGAGTTGTTGAGGCCATATCACTGCGATGTCTACCATGTGGAAGTCCAGATTTAATTAAACGCAATGAATTTCTCAAGCTGTACAAAACGACTGTGATTACAGCTACAGACCTTGGTAAAACCTTTGGTAGGCGTCTGTGCTCAGCGCCAGTTTTCCAGCTGTAACTGGGTGAGCTGCTCTGATTCAAGCACCCGTTTGCTGAGTGGCAAAATGAATTGGGCAAAGCCATCCGAGTTGAAGAGTGGGCAACTGGGGCTGTGCTCCAGTAGCCTACTTCTCATGTGGTAAATGTCTTTTTCCAAATCGTAATTTTTACAGTGTTTATGGAGATGAGAGGAAGCATAGGTCAAACTTAAGATGATAGGTGCATTTATACAGAATGGCATTTTAGTTGAAGCAGTTTCCTCATGACTACAGTTATGTTTGTGTTTTGATTTCAGCAGTGCACAAGGTAAGTAGAAGAAAAATATCGTAGTTGCTGGATGTAACTATATATAGGAGGGGGCCTGCGGAGGGTTACCAGGTTCAGTTTAACTGATGGTGTAATTTGGAAGACAATTATCTCCCAAAATACCTTGCAGAATAAAATACTAAGAGTTTAGGACTGGAAGGTGAGGTTGGGTATGAGTCCAGTCCACTGTGGTATTACCTAGCTTATGCTGGGGAGGATCTACAGAGGGTTTCCTTGTTCATCCCTTCCCCTTCTCTTAGCCCTACTAATTCACAACACGCGCTGATGGACTTGGGGCTTGCAGGTGAGGCCAGAGCTGCAGTTTTTATGTGTTGTAATACAGAGCACAATCGCCAAGCATTAGGTGATGGTCTCGGGGTGCAGTTGTTTCTTGTAATACTGTGGCTGTGTTACGTGAATACTTGTCTTGGGTATCTTGCCCCCACGTTGTCTGAACCAGTAGCAGGGAAATAAACCTCAGTTGTGTGGCTGCTGTAGAGAATTGATTTGAAGCGGTCAGCGTGCACGAGCCTCGATATTACCACCCAGGGCTTCGGTTTGTGTAGTCCTGGATAAAAGCAGAACTCTTACCATTACAAAAATAATAATTTGATTATTCCGCTGCAAATTACTGAATCTAGCAGCACTGGCTGTGGTGGCTGTGAACTTGTGCTCCAGCAGGAAGGGCAAATGAGGCACTCTGAAATCTGCTCTGCCTTTCCTACACATCTGCCCTTGGGAAGGCGTTGGCGCAGGGACACACACATCTCTGTGTCGGTCCCCTGCTTCCAGCCTCATCGTCAGCGCTCGCTTGTGGCTGAGGGAGGAAAGGGCCGGGATAAAAACCAAACCTGCCTCTCCTGCCGCAGCGCTGTCATTACCCTCACCACTAAGGATAACTGTGGGTGTGCAGCCTTAGCTTGTGGCCGTGTGGGAGATGTCAGAGGTATGAGAAGTGTGGAGTATCTGCTCCCGTCGTCGTACAGTGCAGCGGTGCAGATGGGGAGATGAGGCTGAACGCTGCAGGGAGGTGAAGGAGCCCCAGCTTTAGCTGCTTGAGTGGGCTGCACTCCACAGGAGAAGGTGGTTAGTAGCTCACTGGGAGAGATTGTCTCCTCCACAGAGGCTGGGCAGTCCTTCAATTGAGGTTGGTATTTGATTTTTATAGCAGCTGCTGTTAGACTCAGGCTCTACAGAAATTTAGGGGGAACAGAAATGGACTCTGAGAGCGAAGAGGAAGCACACAGGGTTGCAGTAAAGAAAAACCAATGTGTTTTTCAATAGACTTTTGAGGAAAGAACACCATTTTTTCCCCTCTGCCCTCTTTTTTTGGAACGCACATGTTGGGCTTAGATTTCTTTCCCATTTTCAGAAGCATATTTGTTCCTGCTGTTCACATACTACCAGAGTTTTAATTAATGGATATTGATGCTTCTGTTATGGCCAAGAGCATGCTAGGCCAGCTGGGTGACACTAGTTCCTTTCCCAAGCGATGGTGGTATTCCTGGATCCCATTTATCCAAATGTAAAATAAGGATGTGTTAGGCAGAATAAACATGAGATCTCTTTGGACAAAATAATTTAATTTGTTCCAAAAAAAATACGCAAAGTGCAGCCAGGTTTCTGTGAATAGCTTTAAAATGCCAAATGCCATCAATACATTTACGTGTTTTTACAAACAGGCTTTAGTAGGACGTGGGCAGAGTGGTTTGGATTTATTTTACAGCATGTCTGGCACATGCAAATCAATGGTTCAGTGTTGCACAAGTCATAACTGACAGAGCATTGTGTTGTAGCCTTGTTAGCTGAATTTTCTTGTTTCTGAACTGGGTTAGTGTGTTTTTTTTTTTTTATGTGACATGCTTGTCATAACTTTAGTGGGTTTCATATGTATCCATAAATAAATAGAAATTACTCAGATTGTTTGTATATAAAATATGTGAGACAGGAATATGACTGCTGTATAAACATATTGGCATATTTGTTATACTGTTGGGGATCATCTTTAAATAAGTATTAATCCTGATTAAGAGAGAAATTGTACTATAAGTCAGATTTTTCCAGTGTAAAGCTTATTGCTCCTGGTTTCCAGAGGTAAGTAGTAATTAATGCCAAGCACTTGCACTGAACAACAGGAGGCCAATTCTGCTAGATTTTAATTTCATATGCTGGTTTTGTATCTGGTGGAAAAGAGATGGCTGCCCTGTCCCTTCAGATGCGGGCACTGAGGTGAGGTCTTAAGAAATCCTCTCTCTTACCAGATGAGAAGAGGTGGAGGAGGAGATAAATGCCTTCTGAATTCTTTCTGAAGTAGTTGTCTAGGGCAAAAATAAAGCTGTGCTGCCAATGCAGTTTTTACAGCCAGGTTTGAGGAAACTTGCTTTAGGTTGATGTGTTTTTTGAGAAGTTAACGTCAGTTCTCTGATACAAACCCAACTGTGTTAATGCTTTTTTCGTGTTTGCTTTTTTCACCATTTAAGCTCCTAAAAACTTTTGTCAGTTTGGTGGGTAGTTTGAAACTGTTTTAAAATATAAATCCAGGAACTTCTCTATTAAGAAACAATTAGCTATTCTGATCAAGAAAATCAGTCCTGCATTATCTTTAACACACCAACACTTTTTGCTCTTAGTCTTGAGACAACGAATGGAAATGAATAAAAGGAGAAAGAGGGAAGAAATATACTGCCTGCCTTTGAGGATTGTGCAGGGGTTTTAATAATATATCATAAGGGAAGATGGCTCTAGTTTTACTGTGTGAGTTAGTGAAGTGGTTTCTTAATTGAAATACACATCTCACTCCTCCTGATCAATGCTTTGAGCATCAGTTTGTAGTATCACGTTTAACAATGCTGTTCTGGCCTGCCACCTTTGTCTTTCTGGGTGCTTATAAGGAGGAACGTGCCAGAGAAGCTGAAGTGCTGTAAAATTACATATGCTGATGTGGTCTTTGGCAATCTTGAAAACAAAAATATGAAACTGTATCCTCAAATATCTAGATGCCTTTCAGATATTTGGTGTCTCTAACTAAATACAGTAACATGTCCCAGCCGTGGGCGAAGGGCGTAGCATGTTCGCTCTCATGGGAGCCTAAGCTGATACTTTCCTGTTGTTCCCAGCAGTTTTGCCCTCTGTGTTATATATTTGGAACTGGTATAATATAAAATAACATTAATTTGCATACATGTGGGACTAATCACTTGGAAGTGGAGGTTTCGGTATCTGCTCTGAAGGTGTTTGGGTGACTGATTATATATCCTGCTCTAATGGAGGTTGTTTTGTGGATGTGTTGGTGCTCCACTAGTCTGCTACGAGGTAGGTCAGAAACAGCTTAGGTATGTTGTTTCCAAAGGTCTAGAGCTGCTGCTTCTAAAGTGAAAACATAAAACACTCTTATTTGTCAGTATTTTCCTAGCATGTGAAATTTACTTGCTTTCCAATTCCTCAGAAATTGTGGGATGCCTTAGAGCCTGGCTGTTTATCTGCAGAAGTATGTCTATTCTGCTGATTTACAGATAGGGTTTTTGGTTTGCTTGCCATTTTTTTGGCCCAGAATGTCATCATACATTGCTGGCAGGGAAGGAGGAGAGTGACACTTGCCTTGTGGTAATGTGGTGCTTCTGCTCCGAGGTGAAACTGCTGCTGTGTCAAGTACAGCCTACTGATGAGCTAGATGCTTGCTAGTTGCCTGTTTTCTTCAGCAGTTGAGTTAATCTCTTTTAAAAAATTGGAAGTCTGTTGATATCTGGAGAACTGTGTCTTGACCACTTCAATTTAATAAATTAAAAATATTTTCATGCGTTAAATCTTAAGTATTTGAGTGGTCGTGAATCCTGAACAATGAGAAATATACCATTCTAGATGAAGGGAAAAAGGTGGGAGGTAACCTTTCATTGGGAGGCTTTGTATGGAAAGGGTGAGGGTATCAATTTTGTGATGAGAACAGGAGGGGTGCAAAGGTCCCCAAACCCCAGGGCGGTCCCACATCGCTCACTCGCACCTATTGTCTCTCTCATGTTGACAAAACAGGGAAGTCACAGTGACCTCATGTTGTAGTTTTTCCTGAGTAGATTGCCCAGGGCACGTGCATGATCTGTGTACCCCAAAAGTTCAGTTGCTCAAACCAAGAGACCTTCTGTCCAGTCTCTTATTCAAGACCTTTGCTTTAAGCCAGTAAGTGTGGGCATCTCGGAGACCACAGCCTTGGTTGTGTTGCAGGGATACCTTCGGTAACTTCTTTTTTTTTTCTGGGTTCTAAGTGAGGCTTACTAGTCTTGAAGGGGAAAACAGCTCTGCTAAGTGATTTTGTCTTGGCCAGACTTGAGCGGAGCTCTGCGTTGTGTTTCCAGAGAGCGTTGTCCCACGGAAGCGGGGTCTGAGAACCCAAGGTTAGTTAGCTGCAGAAGTGGACTTCACCTCTGTCACGTATCTTGCACTTACTTTTAGTTGTAGACATCTTGGTATGTACTAGTGTGGCCTGTAATTTCTCTTAGCTAGAAGTTAGATTAAAAGCCTCCAGGATGGTATGCTGGTTCAAACACTCTTCAAAGTGTGCTCAAAGACCAAGAAGCAGGTACTTGTCTGTCGTCCAACCGCTTGGGCTGTGGCTTCCTTTTTATTTTTGTGGGACTGCTCTTCCATAGCAGCTGTGCCTACAGCGGGTTTCCTGGTTTATATTTGGTTGGTTGGTTTGGTTTTGGTGTGGTTTGTTTGTTGTTTTTTGTTTGTTTTGTTTTTTAATTACCAACTGTTTTCTCTCTGTTGAAGTTCTTTCCTGCTAACATGAACAAACCAAGAGTGAAGTTCCCTGTAGTATTAAGCCAGCATGGGATCTGCTGTCTTTGCTTTTCCCTGCCTTTTCTGCTCCTCACACCCCAAAGTTAGGGCATGTTTTATTGTTGTTTGCTATTACTTTTGAAATCTGGTTTGGGGTTCTTGTTTTGTTGTTTTGTTGTGGTTTTTTTTTTTTTTTTTCCCTCCACTGCAGTGCACACTGTTCATCACACTTAAAGCTTGTGCTATTATAGGGGCTGAAAGGTGATGTGAGATGGCCTTCTGTTTACTCTCTGCCTGAGCTGATGCCTTACCTGAGCTGTTCTTGCAATTCATCTGTACCAATAAAGTGGGCATCCTTTGCAGCACTGTTACCTTGGTCTTAATGGAAAGTTGTTCCGGGTTGTAAAGAACAAGTGATTGTTTCTCTTCCTCTGAGTCCAAAACTGTCATGGGGTTAGTTTAAGGTGGCACCACTGTGTTGGCTTAAACAATTTTTGGTAAGTAGGATATCTCTTACCAGTTAAGAGTAAGAAAATGGAGTAGAGAATGTGCATTAATGTGTAGCCTGTTTCTGCTGCTTCTCAATTTGGCAAACCCAGACAGATCAGCAGGGTTCATCTTCTCTCCAGGGATCTGATGTTCTGAGCCTTTTGGATAGGGTCAAGATAAACATGTAAGAACAAAGTAGGCTTAGATTTGCTTAAAGGATGAAATAAGTTCCTGTTTCCTCCCCCAAAAAACGAGTAAGTACAATGTCTTCAGAGATGACAGCTGAGCAAGAAAGAAAATATGACATTTATCTGAAATATAAGCTGGTATGTTCTCCAAACCCTCTTGTCCCCTCGGCTGTGCAGAGCAGGACAGGCAGCCAGGCTTGGAGCTTGCTTGCTGCATCTCCCAGTCCGCTGCTGGTTGCTGCTCAGGCCCGGGGACAGGTCGCAGGAGTTCGTGTGGGCCAGCAACGCAGGGCTGCAGCTTGGAAGGAATGGCTTGTCGGGGAGGAATGCAGCCAGGCCTCACAGCTCCCTCCCACCCCTTTTAAAGCAGCACAAAAAGCGCAAATCTTCAAGTCTTTGGCATTTGAGCACCTCTGGGAAGAAAACTGTTTTGGTGTTGGGCTACGTTCTACTACTTGTGCCTGGGTTTTTAAAAACAAGTGCTAGCAAGAAAGCTTAAGGTTTGAAAAATCATGTGTGCTTTAAGGGCGAGTACTTCTGTTTGGTTGTCAGATGTTCCCAGTGCAGATGTTTGGGCATGGGCGGTTTGAGTTGTAAACTTACTGGTAAAGTAAGGGACTTAAGTGAGCCACAGTGGACATGCCAGGATCTGTCTGTCTGTGACTGTATGTGTCCATCTATCTGTCGGTAGCCATGTGTGTGCTGAATTAGCAAGTCAAGGTGAATCATGCAGTGGATAGCCTACACAGATATTTTTCAGAATGAGAATTTAGTGATGTGTTTATCTTTTTCAGTAAACAGGTGACAAGCTTGCTCTGAGCTTCAGGCTTCTTCCCTGAAGTCTATGTATTGCCTCACGTTCACTCTTAGCATTAATAGTGAGCTGAATAAAGGACTGCTACTAATAAACTGAGATTGTTTTATATGGTTTGTCTTGTATATACTCTGCTGTTGCCTTAGCTTTTTGGCAGATACTTTATTTGCTGGTATATTTTGTACTGTTTCTATTGTGTGGGCTTTCTCCTCCAGTGCAGAAAAGTTATTTCTGCATTAAGATTTCACTTGAATATAGTGGTTTTTATGGGGATTAATTGCAATTGAACTTTTTCCTTGTTTCTAGGGGATTGTGGGTAACCTAGCGAGTGGCAAGTCTGCACTTGTACATCGGTATCTGACTGGCACATATGTCCAAGAGGAATCACCTGAAGGTATGTGGATCTGCAAATTTCACTGATTTTTCCTCCCACCCCCTCCCCCCAACTACATCTCTATTCATTTTTAATCATGCAGAAATGAATCAGTAAAGAATCTGATTTGCTATTTCAATGTTCATGGAGATTTTTCCTTTAACATTCTCCAGACTGAGATAAGTACATATAATGAGTATAATTGTAGCTTTTTCATAACTACTTAACATCCTTAAATACTTTGTCATCCAGTATGTGTCCATATGGGAAACTTCTAGTACTGTGTTGAGAAGAGTTGACTGATCTTAGTAGTGCTGCTGCTTTCAATGTGCCTGTTGAAAGCCACAATTACTGTGTCTAGTACTGGATTTCTGCAGAATCGGGCCCTTTGGTTTGTGATGTTGAAAGAATAAAAGAACTTCACAAGCCTAAAGTAAAGATGTAACTTGTTCCCTGTTTAATATATTGAATCTTTGGTCTTGAAGCTGTTTAAAAAAAAAAAAGTTCTTATACCATAGACAATTAATTTATACATGAAAACGCTGTGGTGTTTAACATTAATCCAAGTTTATAGCTTGAAATCAAAAATATATTACCTTATAGAGGTGTATCTTACACTAAATACTTTTTTGATTATTTTTTTTTTATCTATTCTCCTTATGAACTTTTAAATCCAACTCTGAGACACTGAATTTCTGGTTCCTTCTTTTCCTTACTGGCTGTTCCATTCTTTGCAGATATGGATGCAGGTAACTATACATTGTCTTCATGGCAGCTCTTGTTTTGAAGAGCCAGACAGCAGTTTCTGTACTATAGCGTTTTCCCCTTGTTTTGTGTATCATTTTGATTTGTTTCCTTTTGATTTCAAGTCTTTAGTACATCTCACTGTTTTTTGTCTCTTGCTGTAGTTGTCTTTTCAGTAATAGTTTGTAGCTTCATGCATCTATGATAACATTTGTTTCAAATTAACTCTTACTAAGGGAAGCTATTAAGCATAATACTTGACATTTTAACAGTCTTGAATTGTAGTTAAAATGGGAGGAGAGGGAAAGAGAGGGGTGGACAGGGCTTTTTCTTGTGTAATTGCAGTAACAGTGAAGTCTTCCAGTTTATAAGCTTGCCATAAACGTTTTTGCTGCTTTGTAGCTAGGACTGATGGGGTGATAATTGAGCCATGCAGCAAAGCCGCCTGTAGATCACATTCACGCCTGCTGCTTCTGGATGCTGATAGGGAGAAGTGGTTATGCAGTATGTAGATCTGCTGAATACAACAGGTCTTGAGCAAAAATGAGTATCTCTACAGATCTCTTTTCTCGTTTTGTGAACAGAAGAGATCTCGGGTTGTTTTATTTTTTCTCACAAGATCCAAATGCATTGATTATTCACAGAGTTAACGGTCCTCTTCTCCTAAACTATGAATATTTTAGATGGTGTTCCTTGAGAGTATTGCCATCTGTCCTCTTTGTCTTCAAGGATTTTTATTTGCAGTGCTTGAGTGATGTTCAGAGTGTTTTTCCTGAAAGGATTAGATTACAAAAGCAGTGTCAAATCATTTCTTTGCACATAAGTGTAGCTGACAAGCCTCCCTAATGACACCATTCCATTTCATTAACAGTAGAAAAACTGGAATAATTAAGAGCTCTAATTCACCTTGTAAGGGATAGGGTCAAGATCTCTAATCAAGTTAATGTTAAAGGAAATTCAACCCATATAAACTATCCTCGGTAAACATCTGTAGTAATGATTTGTTGGTGTTTTATTTCTCTCTCATCTGAGCATAAGTCCTTACGCTGCTCTTTCATAGAAAATACAGCAGCAGAGCTGTTGGTTCCGTTGCATTGCAGTGTGGGACTTTTGATTTTTTTACATTCTGCATGGGAACATAGCTTTTGATAAATCGAGCCTAGGTGTAAGCCTGTATGTTGGAAACCAGCACACATCCTCCTCTTTTCTTTTTTCTGAGGTCTGTTAAATGTGCCGGCTTGTTAAATTGAATAAAGAATAGTATGCATATCAGATGTTAAGGTGTCAGCTGCTTGCCTATTTAAGAAGAAAACAAAGTTGACTGACTTCAGATGGCTTACTAACAACAAAATTTATCAGGCATCATATAATTAGTGTCTAATTGGTAAGGTGATGGATGCATACTTCATGTGAAAATGGTGATTACGACCAGGGACTGATATTTCTGCTGTCCTTTGCCTTCTAAATTACTACAATTACCATGAAACCTGCCCTGAATCAGACAAGTGCCAGTTCTCCTCTAGGTCTTCAAGGTAGCTTCAGCATTCAGTAAATGAATCTTAAGTATATAAAGAGGGTTTCATGTTTCCTTCAGCTCTTCTAAGACAAGATATTGCTCTTGCTGCCTGATACCACCTCCCCACCAAGAAGAGGAATCGTATCCCATTGAAGTGCAGAGCACTTCTCTCTCACTGTCTGGCCCAACTTTTGCTTCTTTTCAGAATTAATTTTAGTCTCTAGTGTGATTGTAGCATGAAAACGTTTGTTTTTCCTCTAAAGTCTTACTTGTGGAGAAAAGAGGCTTTTGGACTCTTCCTTTGCATATTTTACATGCGCATAGCTGCACTCCTGTGTGAGACACTTCTAAAGCAGCTGTATTTTGATGTAAGAAAAAGAATAATGTATCGCCCTATAACAGGTGGGAGTTTCAGTAGTCTGGGACTTGTAGTTTTTTTCCTGTAATGTTACTACAAGGAAGTGATGGGAAGTAGGGTACGTTAGTGATTTGTGGTCTTCTAAAAACCTTGCAAGTGATAGGAAGAAAAACTACTACTGAACAGCGTGCTGGGTTTTTTACATAGCTGAAACAAGTAAGAAGCGTGCAACCTGGTATCTTTTTTCACCTGTCTAAAATTTAATTCTACCTGTAGGAAAAAAATGAAGCGTGGTAGTGCATGGAATTTGAGACCAAGTCCTTTGCAGACCAAGGTGAATTTAAGTTTACAGGAATAGTGAGTGTCAGGAGTATTCTGTTACTGTTTGGGTTTTTGTTTCCAAAAGGCACAGAGGTGTGAAACATAAAGGTTTTTGCACATCTCTGGTATGTTTATGAATGCCCTAATTCATGTCATGATTATTTCAGTATTTTTTTTCCAGTGAGCTGAATTAAGGAAAAAAAAAAAAAAAAGTAGATAAGTTTTGGTCCAAGGTGCCTCAGAGTGAATGAAGAAAAGGAGGTTTTTTTTTTTCTCCACCCCACTGCTATAGTAAGGTGAGATGCTAGAACAGACCAGTGATGTGAACTTGAACTGCTAAATCTGTCCAGTGTATCTTCTGCTTAAGAAAACCAAGAAGGGGAGCTGAGGTTAAATTTGAATATGCGGAATAGTTGAAGTGAGAGTTAAGGCAGCATCAGGTTCCCTGCTGAGGAAACAGAATTAAGGTAGTGGCACCTGGGGCTAGACTGGACAACTGAAGGGAGAAAGCTGGTGCAAGAGCTGTAGCAACTCACTTTGCTGTATCTTTGGTAATTTTTTTCAAAAGTTTTAAGGGTGTGGGTCTCCAGTGTAATACATGCTTAGGAGACTGGCTTTAAAGTAGTTTAAGGAGTAACCTTCCTCAAGTTGGTACTTATCTCTTTTGTTGCTAGTTTTTGGAGAATTGGTGATCGTCTAGTGGCAATTTGCTCTACTTTGGCATTCAAATGAAGGACAAATGTTTCAAGTAATAACTAACCATTGAGATATATTTATTTTTTTTTTTCTCCTCTGTGTGGAGTAAAACATTTTTTTTGGTCTCAAAAGCATAAAGGCAGTCCAGCACCCTGTCTTGGGTGAGCAAATAGCTGTTGCAGTCGGTGGAGATTTCACATCTCTGTATGTGGAGGAACTTATGAATATAAGATAAATGAAAATGTAGGATGTGAATCTTTGCAATACTAATTCCCAACTTCTAGGTTGATAATCCTTAGGCTTCCCGTGTAGTACACAATACAAAAGAAAGGCAGTGGAAGCTCTTACAAAGGGTTATTTTAGCCACTAATATATATTGGGTTTTACCTTTTTTTTTAATCTATGGATTTTTTAAAATATAAATTTATATAAATTTTTAATATAAATTTATATGGTATAAGGTTAATCGGTTGCCCTTGATTTCTTCTTTCCCATTTCCTTTTTGTAACTTTAGCCTATTTTAGATCTTTTCCTCATTGCTAGAATGGGTTGAAAGCGGTTGCATTGGGTGTTTATCCCAACTGGTGTGTTGTGACTGTCCCCACGCTGTAGTGCGCGCGAGGCACAGCGGTTTGCCTAGCACTTGGGCTCTGTGGTGTTGCCTCCCAGGGGAGCACCACCACGCTGGAGCCCTCACTCGGTCCCTGAAGGGTAAGAAATGTCAAATTTCAAGTGCCACTTAATTACAGTTAGAGGTCTCTTAGGGGTTAAGGGCTACAGTAAATCTGTTCCCTCAGTAAGCACTATAGAGTAAAGCCTTGATGTGCTTTCCAGAAAGCTGGGATCATTTGCTTTCTTTCCAGATGCAACCTAAACATAATTTTATAGTATAACAGCCCTCCATCGGTTGAATTTTTCAGTACCCAGAATGAACAGTGTATCCCTTGAGTAACAGCCATCATCTTAAAACTTAATGTTTATTATATAAATACTGAAAGCGTCACCTTCGGTCTTCCCTGTACAGAAAGAGGATTGTGTTGAGATTACTATGAAAGTAAGTTGCTAGCCTGTTACCAAAACATGTAGATATTTCATATTGGAGGATGCATGTCCATGTTTTTGCAATTTCCATCCAGTAACTATTTCCATATTATGCTACTTCAGCAGAGTGTAATTATGGAAGGAGGATTGAGAAAGACTGCTTGAAATTTTCAGCTGCTTTTGTTCAGCATCCCCTCACGAGATTTTTGTCCGGCCATAGACTCTTACAAAATATATATACAAAAAGTAAGCATAATCTGTTAACCTAGATAACATTCCAGTTGCCTTTATTCATGGAAAAGGTGTAAGGCTTCAGTTGCTGGGCCCTGCGATTAAACCAAGAATGCAGCTTAATCTCCTGTAAAAAAAAAAAGAAAAATATGATTCTTCTTTGCTTGCATTAGGTTAAATCAAGTGTTCAGACAAGCAGGGCAGGAAAGGAATACCATGTTTTGAAATTGTTTATACCTTGTTGTGCTGGAAGATTTAATAGTGAGATGAGGATCACAGTTTGGCATTTCAGGTTGGCTGGAACCATGGGAGCTGCGGCAGAATTGGACAAACTCTTCCTTCTGTAAGATAGTGATTCTTGTCCCTTTTCTCCCATAATTCATGTGCAGGCTAAAAATTTAATTCTTCCTTCTGTGAACAATTAGGTTCCTAAGGTTGCAACTCTCTTCACAGAAGCCATTAGTTATTTTTATCTAGTGGGGTTTTTCTTGTGTGGGTTTTTTTGTGGGTTTTGGTTGTTTTTTTGTTTTTTTTTTTTTTTTTTTTGTTTTTTTTTTTTGTTTTTTTTTAAACATGTAGGAATCTGGAGGCCATATTTACTAAAGAACCAATTTTTATCTTTCATGAGTAAAAAGAGAGGCTCTGTCCCAGACTAATCTGTGCATTCTGTTCTTACTGAGCAACCCGGCTGGAATTTAAGTGGATAGCAGAGAAGTATGTCCTCTGAATATGTACTTACATGCATTTCTTTAAAGATAGACTTTCATGCTTTTTCACTCGTGATTTTCCTGAATTCTGTAAAATCCTCATCATGCATGTAAAAGTTTAAACATAGTTTATAC